TTCTTTCTTTTTTTTTTTTTTTTTTGAGAGGTTTTTGCTATAGGGTGCGTGCACTCGCCAGAAAGAGAGAGACAGAGAGATAGAAAGCGAGAAATGAACCCCCCAGGGGGGATGGCCACACCGCAATTCCTTCTCCTCCATTCTCCTCTCGGGATCTTGGGCACACACGCACATGCGCCCGGCGTGAGTTTAAGCCACCGGGTCCGGGACTCGAACCGCGGTCAACTACATGGGAGTTCAGTGACATAGCCATTATGCCAACTGCTGGTCCCCGGGACTCTTTTTTCTGAAAGTGAAATTTAAAAGACTCTATATAGCTTATTTTAGAATTTTACCTCTTGGTCTTGAGCAAGAATTCACCCATTTAGAAGGCTGGAGAGTGGCAAATAGTCTCCGGAGCAGTTGAAAATGTTGACCAGGAAGCAGAGAATGTCCAGCCAGTAGTAAAAGACCTGCAGAGAGACACGGACCACCTGCAGTGAAACACGTGTTGTCAGGTAGAGGCTGGTGCTCTGCATGAAGCCCAGCAGCTCCCCCGTGGTCCCAAAGTACGACTGCGTGCTTCCGCCATGCTCTGTGAGGCCAGCCCTGCTCTAACCACTCCAGATAACACATTCAGCCCTCGGCCCAGTGACAGACGTGGAATTCACACACACACACACACACACACACCGTCTTATAGCCAAGGGGCGGCTGAGTTCAGAGAGCTGAAACAACTGAGTCAAGTCCTAGCATTTTCTCAGATACAGGTGGTCATGCTGGGCTCCGGAGCGCTCCCTGTTAGACCCTTAGGGCTCTTTTGCTTTTGGAAAGCACTGGTTCCCATCAAAAGAGAAACGCAAAGTAGAGAAATCCCGTATCAACGATAATCGTGGGCAGCTGTGGCCATGCCTATGTCTTATAAAAATCGAAGGTGAATCTTGAATGACAGCAGCCTATGGGAAAAGGCAAACACACTTGCCTTCTTGGCTCCTTGATCTCAGCTTGAGTAAAGAGTTTCGAAAAGCCTCTGTTTCATTTCTCCCTCCTGCCCACCAACCACACATGCCAGTGAGGATGGCGAGAAATCAGAGCCCTGGTGCACTGCTGGTGGCACGTAAAATGGTACTGCCACTATGAAACGTAATGCAGCGAGACCTCAAAAAGCTAAATAGACGTCTAGATGGGCAGCCGGTGGCATGGCGATTAAGGCAGCTGAACCCCACATGGCCTACTGTGCAGTTCAAGTCCCAGACTCAGTGGCTTGAAAAACATGCCAGGTGCATGTGCATGCATGCCCGAAATCTAAAAGGAGGAAGAAATGGAGCAGAAGGGATGGTGGCATGACCATCTCCTATAGGGAAGGCTTTCTCATTCTCTCTCTCTCTCTCTCTCTGGTTCTCTCTGTGGTGAGTGCACGTGCCCTCTGAAAATTTTATTTAAAAAATTAAACATGATTACCATATGATACAGCAGTTCTACTTCTTGGTATATACCTTGGGGAATTGAAAGCTGGGTCTTGAAGAGCTATTTGTACATCTTTGTTCATAGCATTAGTCACATACCCAACAGTTGGAAACAGGGGCCGGCAGGTGGCATGGTGGTTAGAAGCGCTGGATTCCCACATGGCTGACAGTGGTTCAAGTCCTGGACTTGCTGGCTTGCTTTCTCACTTTTCCTTTCTCTCTGTCTCTGTTTCTCTTTAGTCAAATTGAAAATAACAACAACTGGGAACAAGCAGGTGGCATGGTGGTTAAGGTGCTGGACACTCCCACATGACCGACCACGGTTTGAGTCCTGGACCTGGTGGCTTGCTTTTTCACTCCCCCCCCCTCTCTGTGGGTCTCTCTCTGGTCAAGTTAAAAAAAATGAATAAATAAAGTTTTTTTTTTTTAAAGAAAATAACAAAATTAAATCAATAAATAATTTTTTTTAAAGTTGGAAACAAACCAAATGTCTATCAAGAAAAACCTAGATACACACAATGTGGTTTATACATACACTGTAATGGAATATTATTCAGCCTTCAAAAGAAAAGAAATTCTGACACATGCAACTTGGCTGGACCTGGAAGACGTTATGCTAAGGGAAATAACCGATCACAAAAGGATGCGTGCTGTGTGATTCCGATAAGTGCATGACCTAGAGGGGCCAGGGCGTAGAAGGCTGGTTGCTAAGGGCTGGGGGAGGAGGTATGAGGAGTGACTTTTTTATCGGAACAGTTGCAATCGAGGAAGATGAAAGAGTTCCTCAGAGGAAGCCAGCAGGTGGCATAGTGGTTAAAGCGCTAGATCCCACGTGGCCAGCTGTGTGGTTTGGGCCCCAGACCCAGTGGTTTGAGAAACATGCTGGGTGTGTGTGTGTGTGTGTGTGTGTGTGCATGCCCGAAATCCTGAGAGGAGAATGGAGAAGGCATTGCAATGTGGCTGTCCCCCCCAGGGGGTGACTTCTCACTTCCCCTCATTCTGTCTTTTCCAGGTGAGCATATACACCCTATGAAAAGAAAAGAAAAAAAAAAAAACCTTTAAAAAAAAGTTCCGTAGAGCAATGGTGGTGATGCCCAACCATTCGGGTACTTAATGCCGCTAAGGAGCACACTGGAAAACGGTTAAGATGGTAAATTTTAGGTTACGCCTATTTTATCACCAATCAAAAATATCACAAAATGAGGCAGATACCTTACAAAAAGCAAAGATATGTTTGATTTACAAAAGAGAATGCCCCCTATGATCTGGAGACAGCGTCACTTACATCTCGACGTGATAATGTAACTGTTCCCTCTCCAGGCACCTGTGCGCGCCTCCATCCACAGAAAGGGAGGTGACGATGAAGGGAAGCTTGCCCAGTGCTGCGCGCTAGCATATTCATGTTCGAGGTGTTACTCGGGTGGCTGCCCTCAAAGATGCCAGTGTACGGGACCAGCAGTTAGCGTAATGGCTATGTCGCTGGACTCCCACGTAGTCGACCACGGTTCGTGTACCGGACCCGGTGGCTTAGGACTCACGCCGGGCGCGTGTGCGTGCGTGCCCAAGATCCCGAGAGGAGAATGGAGGAGAAGGGATTGCGGCGTGACCATCCCCCCTGGGGGTG